GCAATATTTCACAATATTAATCTCTCTTACTAATTTCAAGTGATGTCAGCAGAAAAAAAATCAAAGTAATTTTAGAGGAAGAGCAAACTATTATATTCTGATTGCAGGTTATAAAGACAGATGTTTTTGGAATAACAAAAAAAGAAAGTTAGTGGAGGAGCAATCTGTCGATTACTTGTTACAGTTGTTATTGTGAACAATTCATTGGTGAACATTAAAAAAGTAAGAAATGTCATAAACTGCTCGTCCTCTTCAACAACATTTCAGTTGATGTCACCAAGCCCTGTTATTTTTCAACCCCCTCCCCTCATCTCTCAATCCAACCAATTCCTGATCAGCCTTATCTTTTTTTCTCACAAATGATCTTCTTTCACTCGGAAACACGTCACATTACGGAAGCGACCTGGCTTTCATGTTGTCTGAAGCAGGTGTGTGTTGTTTGTACTCGGTAAAGAACAGCTTGCAATGAATGGCTCTTTCTACCGGGTAATTATGTTGTCGTGTAAAGGATAACGTTTTCTTCCTACTCACTCACAAAGTGCCTGCTCAACCTGTCCGTCTACTACTCTTTCACTCGCATCAAGGGTTTGTCTTTCCAAATGCCCACATTCATCAGTTTGTGTGTGAGTAATATTGACACACAGCTCTCCCTCCATCTCTGTAACATCTTGCCTCTGGCTCTCTGCAGTCGTATATTTTGTTTGGTAGTAATTTTGAGCTTGACATTGTCATTTTTGTTCATGCCCACTAAGTGTAATGGGAATGTCTCAAATGCCCTCATGAGTTGTGCATATGCTTGTACGTTAAATGCCAGATGTCTTTCTGAGGACATCAACAGCCTTTATCCTTCCATCCTGTGAAATGGGTTGGTAACTGTTTGACAGGGTTTTTTTTTTGTGTGTGTGAGCCAGGTGCTAAGGGCAGTCTGTGTAGCCCGCAAGACATCTATCTCTATCTCTCTATTTATCTGTTCGCCCTCGCACCGCACCAGTATCATCTACACACATGCAGAAACATAATTATGCCATGTACAACGGCCTTTGATAGCATGTACAGTTTTCTTCTTAATTCTTTATCAAATGCATTGATCGTGGTGTATGTGCATTGATCCAGGAACCACATCTGCAGCCCAGCGATAAGGCCACGGTGGCATCTCTCTCTCGCGCTTGCTCTCTCTCGCTCTCGTTTGGCTGGGGGCTAAAGCAGGCTGCTGTAGGATTAGCTGATGCTCAGCTACTTGCATTTTAAGTTGACACCTCAACACCAAGCAGAGGCCACATTACAGAGGAAAGGCTGCCCTGTCCGTCCACCCAACACCTCCCCTTCTGTACGCTGGCACTCTCTCTTTCTCCCTCTCTCTCTCTCGACTACATATAATTGGATTTGTGAATGGGAGCAGCCGAATGCTTCCTTTAGAATGGCCGGGGACACAAGGTGAAGTTTTCTCATTACAGACCACGAAGCCAGGGGACAGATCATAGACGATCTGTATTTTCCATTTAAAGAGGACAGAAATGGGAGAGAAGGAAGAATAAAAGAGAGGAGGGTTTGATAGACAGTGCAGAGAGAGGGAGGTGAAGAGGACAAGGAAGTCTCTTTATTTCACAGGTCACTTTCTAAAGGACTGAGAGAGAGGGTTGATGAGCCCGAGACGTGGCAGTGTTTTCATTTTCTTGAACGTGTCTCAAACATTGCGTTCATATTTGATTGCTTTTGTAAGCGCGCTGAATATTTGGGTTTGGTTATTTCATTTGTTTACCGTTTGGATGAGTTCATAGGCAAGTAGGGTTGGGAATCAAAGACCGGTTCTTAATTATAACCGGTGACGTCATCACAGCCTTGTTGATTTTCACGCCATTGTCTTATTTTCTGTCAGCAATCAACTTTCAAGTGGATCATTGCAGTTTGAAAAGTCTGCAAACGCATCTATGATTTTCTATATTACAATAGAATTTGTATATATTGTAGGGCTGCACGATTATGACAAAAATCATAATTGTCGATTATTCCTTTGAAATTGTAATTGCGATTATTAATTACGATTAAATGAATGATGTTTACACATTTGTTTGAAGCAACTGCATGCCGTATTTTTATATGAAAATAAACAAGCTGAAAACACTAACTGAAAAACTTTTATTGCTTTTCTATAGTATTAAGCCTCAAATGTCAAATATACATCGGGTTGGTTTCTTCTTTAAATAAAAAGGTAAAAATATGCATGGTATTATAATGTTAGACTAAAACTAAAATTAAAACAATGGAAAAACCCTTAAGATAACATGTAGAAAGAAAAAAAGCATCTTAAGCATGCAGAATAACATAAGTGGACTTTGACGATTAATTGCTGCTTTGAACGATTATGTAATTGTGCCATCCGTAATTGTAATCGCGATTAGAAATTTGATTAATTGTGCAGCTCTAATATATTGTATTATATATACTGTATTGTATTTTTTTTTTTTTTTATTATTTATATAAAAATAAAGCAATTAAATAAATATAAAGAAAATAAATAGAATAAAGAATTATACATAAATTTAAGAGAAGCTAATAATTATTTTTAATGGCCGATAGATAAATGGCTGATATAAAAAATCTATACTGTATTGTCTAAATAAATTTAAAATAAAACACTTAAAATTAAAACAATTGAAAGAATTGTTTTCCGATCATATTCCATTCTTTTCCCTCAAAATGAAGAAGAATCATTTATGGAATCAGAACCAGAATTGATAAATTACTAATGATTTCCATCCGTACACACGTTTGTGTGTGTCTTTTGGATGGGCTAAAAATTCAAACCCTCTCTTCTTCTGCACTGCTTGCTTGTGCAATGTGTGTGTGTGTGTGTGTGTGTGTGTGTGTGTGTGTGTGTGTGTGTGTGTGTGTGTGTGTAATATATTGTTTTTTTTTTACTGCATTTTAGTCTAGTTTAATGTTATTTATACATTTAAATTGTAAAAAAATATAGGAGTTCATGTAGAAATTAACAGTAATTTAGTTTAGTAAGTCTTAAAAGTATTGCTTATTGCTATTTTATGTTATTGTTATAATTAATATACATCCAAAACATTATTGTAAAGTTTTCCAAAAAAAAAACCCTCTCTTTTTCAGTCCAGTGCAATTGAATTACTTTTTGTTTGTGAAATATGATGAAAGTACAGGCCTGAAGTTGAATGAAAATGTAATACAATGTGAAAAGTGTATTTATTTATTTTTTGGAAAGTTAAGGAAAAACTTACAGAGCTGCATTCAAATGTCTGTCCTTTTTTCACCATCAGTGTTATCATCCATTTAGTGTGAATCAGCATTTATTCCAGGTATACCATGCATTTCCAACTTCATAAAGTGTCTTGTCTGCCCCTTTACAAATTCAAGCTTCTGTTAAATGTTCCAGCACAGTCTGTGGATTGACGCATCTTTCCTTTCCTCTGTCTGCTGCTGTTCTTCATCTCTTCTTAATTTTCCTCGACTACAGTATTACAGAACATTTCCAGAGTTGCCTAAAAGCAGTTTACACTGGGGGCCTGGTGCTAATCCTGCCCTTTGGGTGCACACACACAAAGAATCTCATTTTCTGTGCTAATGGCTAGCCTAGCCCTGAATTGCTGTATGTAAAACAGTGTGTCGAAGGTTGTGTGTGGTGATGATACCTGCAAGGTTGAGCAGATCATTTGGCGTTTTAGACTTCAGCTGCAGAAAGAATGACAATTATATTACGTTAAATTGTACAAGGAGCACAGGGCAAAAGCCTCACAGCTGAAACGAAACATGCATTATTGTACAGTAGAGGTAGATGTAGACACGCTCACAGAAACATGTGGTTCTGTTTGTTTTTGTTGATTGCTTAATTTATTTGCTTTCATATCATTGGCTATTCCAAGCCATCCTCCAATTAGAGCAGATGTATTCATTTTGCGAGAACATAGCAGACACACACTCATACTAAACGTGCCCAATTCAGCGTTGGCAGGGGAGCTCCTGTGTTTTCAGGTGTAACCTGGCCTTAGCTTTGTCTTGCATGTTCAAATTACCCTGAGACTCAAAGGCCTCCGGGCTGGACCCCTGAAAAGTGCTCCTGGGATTCCCTCATCTGCATCTGTCTGCTTATTGTCCTTCTGAACAATGGCTTCAGACAAACAGTGTCCACAGAAACAGGTGAAATGGGGTTAATTAACTTAACACTTTTGTAACCAGTTGGGCTAATTCACTCTCTGCTCTTCTGCTCCAGAAACCTGTTACCACCTTGAAAATATGTGCATGGGTGTGTGTTCATGTGGCTGTCTGTGGGGCCAGGCTACCCATCATGCTAAGCAGACCTGTCTTTAATTCTAATGTGTGGTAGTGGTACTACAACTTTGTGAATATTACATAAAATTGTTAGGTTATAATAACCATCCAGTATTATGCATTTTCTCAAAAGCATTGTTACCCAACTGTGGTCACTAATTCTGTCATTACCAACATAGTTCAATTAATCAGTGTTTCTCAAAATAATAGTTACTAACTACAGGTCTAATTTCAATAATGTGTTATTAATTAGCAGTATTTTTTATTAAAAATGTTTTACATGTCAGGCGCTTGGTCTAGTGATTAGATGTTGCAATTAAATGTAATTCAAGTTTGGATCAAGTGACATTTCCCAGTCACTGTTTCCTCATCTGTCTATTCATGTTTAAGTAGTTGATGCATACATTTCTGTCTCTACCTCTTGTTGATGCACACAAAACACTAAAAAAAAATGACACACCAGCAAATATCTCAGGTTTATTATGTCTGGACCTATACAGAATCAATGACAAATAAACCATGCAGTGAATCTCTCGCTCTCTCCCTCTGTGCCAGAGACCCTCCATCCTTACTGTTAAAAAAAGCTGCTATCAGTCTGATCTGATGGGAGAGAGAAGAGTGAAAATGGCATTTCTGTCAATTACTTGAGATGGCACCCGTTCAATAACCCCCCTCTCCCTCTGCTTCTGTGTGTGTGTGTGTGTCAGGAGCGTGATGAAGAACGGCGCAGGCAGCTGCGAGAGAGAGCCAGGCAGCTGATAGCGGAGGCTCGATCTGGAGTAAAGATGGCTGAACTGCCTCTCTATACTGACTCCACCTCTATAGCCTGTAGTGCAGCTGGGAACAACTTAAAAGGAAGGTCAAAGACAGCTGGAGGTGAGTGCAGGGGGACTTTTATAGGCCGAACACGCACATACACTCACAATGCATAAACGCATGCATGCACATTTTCTCATAAGCATGCGAACGCACACGCAAATCTACATGCGTTCATTTTGAAATACCACAGACATAAGCTCTGTTCCAAAACATACTGAGATGCCTATGTAGACATGCTCTCAAGGGTGCATACCTTGCTTTGGCGGAAGTCTAAAAGCAGCTTCACGTCCTTCATAAATAAGGTAATTCCATAATACATTGCATCATGCTTGTTGGGAGATGATATGAAGCAAGAGATTGTGAATGTTGATTACAATTCATTCAGAGCCTAAAAGCATGGGCTGTTTCACCCAATGTGCACAATTTTCCCAATGTTTGTGTGTGCTATGTACATTTTGAGGCTTAAAAGCATAGTTCATCCAAAAATGAAAATTCATCATTTCATGTCGTTCCAAACCTGTGACTATTTCTTTCGCAAAGCACAAAAGAAGATATTTTGAAAAATGTTTCAACTGTTGTCCATACACTGAGACTTCAAAATATCTTCCTTTGTGTTCCACAGAAGAAATAAAGTCATACAAGTTTGGAACAACATGATACTATTTTAGTATTATTTACATACAGAATCCACTGCCAGCATTTTCAGTATTACATTTTCTGTTTTTTGACTTTTAGTTTGTTTTTATTAGTTGTCTTATTAGTTTACATTTGTATTATTTTTAAATATATATATATATATATATATACAGTGGGTACGGAAAGTATTCAGACCCCCTTAAATTTTTCACTCTTTGTTATATTGCA